TATATTCTTCTAAATAGCTCATTTACCTATTTGCCCCATTCTACCGAAGCCAGTGGTTGTTCAATGGAGTATTGAATTCACTATATATATATAACATACTGATATAATATATTTTTTTTTGAGACCCACAGTTCTGGACTCGCTTGCCTGGTCTCGAGTTGCCCTGGCATCGATCCTAGCTCACGGCACTTCAACACTCCCTGGGCTCAACTTGCATCCTCCTGGCCTCCAGCCTCCAAGGTAGCTAGGAAATACCAGGCACGCTCCACTGTGGCCCGGACTATTTTAGTTTTTGGTTAATTTCTTTCTGATTTATTAGTAGAGACGGAGGTCTCCGTCTTGCTCAGCTGGTCTCTGAAATCCTGAGCTCAAGCAATCCCTCCACCGTGCAGCTTCCCAGGAGTGGCCTGGAATACAATCGTGGAGCCACCACGCCAGGCCAACTTTCATATGTTTATTAAAATCACATCATCTCTACCAACAACGCGCATTTGTTCATATCAGACATATGGTTTGTTTCAGACTTTCTTGCATCTTCATTAAATGGAACATCTTTCATGTGGCCACTGGAAATATGTTTTTTGGAATTTCCTTTTGCTACCCTTTGGCCTGGCTCTACCGGCTGGGTGCTCATTTCGGTGGGCCCACTGACATCTCCTGAACCTCCCTCCCAAGGACTGAATTCGTCTCCAAGGCTCTCTCAGTGCGGTCCCCTCTAACTCGTTTATTTCAAGTCATCGCTGAATCCCCTTCAATTGTGGTCCAGCCGTCTCAAGTATTTAGCACAAACTCAGTAGCCTGATTGGGAAATCCTTTCCCCCTCCCGACGGCTCTCCAGTTTAGAACAACTCTAATCAATTCTCTCATTTTAAAGTTACCCGATCACAGCACAGATGGAAATCTTCTGGTAGCTTCCATTTAATCGCAGACTCTAATCCAACTACCCTAAGTACCTCATCAAATTCTGACATGTTCGGAAATGTTCGTTTCTCCTCATTGCTCATATGGGTTAATACGCATTGAATAACAACACTGAAATGTCAAATGTCAAAGTAAGAGTAAGATTGTCCTCTGATCCTAACCTTTTCCTTTCCCAGAAATAACCACTGTTAGTGTTTTCCTCCACTATCTTTCCAGGATTCTTCTATTCACTCACTCATTAAACAAGCCTGGAGCTTGTTCCTCTGTGGTCCTCTTACTGGGCCTAGAGAAGCAAACAAAACTGAAAGCTCTGCCTTCATCGAGCTCACCTAGAGCGACAAACACAAGTAACATGGGTGGTATGGAGGACGGCGCGAGTACTCTACAGAAAAGTTCATCACAGAACGTGAACGGAGTGTGGGAGAGAGGCCGGTTGCTTTCTAAACACGGGGTTCTAGGAAGGCCTCACTGTTAAGTGGATTCGGAGAGTCGCCTGAAGAAGGTAGATCAAGTGCTTCTACCTGGAGCAGGGGTCTTCTGGGCAGAGCTAATAGCCCGTGCAAGGGCTTAAACTAGCTTCGGGCTTGGCATGCTTCGTGAAAGAAAAGCCAGGGCACCGGGCAGAGTGAGTGAAATGAAGGGTTCACAGAAGGCAGAAAGGTGGCGAGGGGGCCAGGTCCTCATAGAACCCTGTAAGGTCCTTGGCTTGTACTTTGAGTAAGATGGAAGCCCATTTGAGTTCACAAGCATCGGATGATGTCACCCTGTTACGTTTAAAAGGAACTCTTCTGGGTGCGGTGGCTCACGCCTGTAAATCCTAGCCTCTGGGAGGAAGGCGCCGCGGATTGAGCTCGAGGTCAGGGGCGTTTACAACAGCCTGAGCAGAGCGAGACCGCCGTCTCTTACTATCCAAATAGGAAAGCAATTAATTGGCCAACTAAATATATATAGAAAAAATTAGCCGGGCATGTGGGGTACATGCCTGCTACGTCCCAGCTACTCGGAGGCTGAGGCAGGAGCCCGATCGCTTGAGCCAGGAGTCCTGAGGTTGCTGTGAGACTAGCTGACCGGCCATGGCACTCACCCTAGCCCTGGGCAACACAAGCGAGACACTCCTGTCTTCACACAGAAAAAAAGAAAAAGAAAAGGACCACTCTTTCTGCGTGTTGGAAATAGACTTTGGGGCGGGAAGCCGCAATAGGCAAAACATGAGAGAGCATGCATGAAGCGTACCTGGTCACAGACGACGGTGGCAAGAAGCGGCCAGTCCTCCCTGGCGTATTTCCGCAGATCAAGAGCGGCCAAGAGATTTGACTCCAGCCACTGGACGGCCTGGACAGGTGCGCTTGGCACTGCTGAAGTAGAGAGGCCTGAGAAGAGGTCGGCATTCAGCCAAGGGGACCATAAACTGAGCTTGGGAATTTTCTCTCCTTTTATTTTTGTTTTAAATGTAGAAAACAAAAATGGAACATTTATTCTAACTCAGCACTTAACAGGTAGGGGTGAGAGAACTTGAAGAGAACCAGAAGTTCCACCGCCCATTTCTCAACACAAGTTGCTGTCAACCAGGAATCTTGGGGAGAGCACGGGACAAGGGGAACTGGCGGCGACGACTCGGGTCCGGACTCCGGCGGCGCCGTGTGCCGGCCTCCTCTTGCCCGCGGCGGACGCCGGACAAACCCGGCCGACACTGCGTGGCTGTCCGTCAGGTCCTGGCCCTGCGTCGCTCCAGAGCAGCCCGGCCCGTACGTCTCGCGCTCCAGCAGAGCACAGCCCTGCGGGTATCCAGTCCCTTCCGGACTCAGGTGGATGTTATTTATTTCCCCTATTCCGCGAATTTGTCGTGGACGTCTTCCTCAGTGGCTCCTCGGGGACTCCGGTGACAGAGAGAATCCAGCCTTCACAGACGCCGCGGCCGGCGGTTGCCGACCGGGCATCTGCCCGCGCCGCCGCCGAAGAGGCCCGACCCGCGCCTCAAATCCGCCCTCTTGGGAGCCAAAGCCTCCGACCTGGCGTTTCTTCCTTCGCTTTCTTTCAGCATTGAGAATGACTCTCGCCCACCCTCATCCCCACGGCGGAACCCCAGGCCCCTGGCCTGCGTGGACACCCAGCAAAGCGTGGCCTGCCTTGGACGCGGCTTGCGTGCTGCCGCGGTGTTTGGAGATGTTCAAAGTTTCACTTACACAGCGCGCCTTACCGAGCACGGTGTGGTGGCTCACCGCCTGTAAAGCCATCACTCCTGGGAGACCGAGGCTGGGAGGGACATTGCTTGAAGCCAGGGGTTTCAAAAGACGCCAGCCTGAGCAATAGCACCACCCGGTCTCTACAAACCAATGGAAAAATTACCCAGGCATGGAGGCCTGCACCTGAAGTCCCAGTCAACTGGGAGGCTGTGATAGGAGGATCTCTTCAGCCAAGGAGTCTGAAGTTGCAGTGAGCCATGATGACACCACTGCGCTCTAGCCTGGGTGACAGAGCAAGACCCTGTCTCATAAACTAAATAAATAAAATTGATTCATCAGCATAGGTTCTGAGCTATTAAAATGATTGCATTATGGAGGCAAATAACATAAACCAGCTGATTTTCCTTCTTTTTTTTTTTTCTTTTGAGGTAAGTCTATCCCTGCTGCCCTGGCTAGAGTGCTGTGACGTCAGCCTAGCTCACAACAGCAACCTCAAACAGCTCCTGGGCCTCAAGCCCGACCTCCTCCTGCCTCACAGCCTCCTGAGTAGCTGGGACTACAGGCATGCACTGCCATACCCAGCTAATTTTTTCCTATATAACATTAAGTTGGCCATTAATTTCTTCTATATATAGTACGCAGACGGGTTCTCGCTCTTGCTCAGGCTATTTCGAACTCCTGACCTTGGAGCAGTCCATCCCCGCCTCGGCCTCCCAGAGTGCTAGGATTTACAGGCGCCGAGCCACCATCGCCACAGCAATTTCTTCTATTTTAGTAGAGATGGGAGTCCTCACTGTTTATTGAAATTCATGTATTTTATAAAAAATTGCATCAATTCTACCAAACACATTTTTCATATCAGTACATATGGTTTTCAGACTTTCTTGCAATCCTCTGTCATGTAAGATGGAACCATCGGTGTCATGTGCCACTGGAAATATGTTTTTTGTGAATTCTCCTCTTGCTCACCTTTGCTGTC